CTAAAGACAGTTTTATAATTAGGATTTTGGTGAGGAGTACCTAAGGGATCAATCATATGAGAGACAAGCTCCACTCTTCGTTTGCAAGAATTTAGGCTGCCTATTTCTGAGCGGCAGAAATTTTTGCAACCCCTCACAGGTGGATGAACCTGTTGAGTAGGCTTTGGAAAACTTCAGGTAGGCCAAATGCGTAATTAAGTACTTTAGTCAATAGAATATTAATTACGTCGACTTCTTTTTTCACTTCTCCCTACACATCGAGAAGATTTCCCTCAAGTCATTTCTTCCTGTCAACACCGTACAAAATTACAAAACTATAAAATCGTATTCCGTGAATATTCACCCCCTGAAGGAACGTTTCATAAAAAAATCGTTAAACAGAGATGGCTCTCAACTTCCCAGGGGACTTTAAATTGAGACCTATGTAAATCTATAGAGCTATGTAGAAGATTCGTTGCACATGTGGAAACCAAAAATGCTACGTGAACATACCAAGGAAGTTATGGGTGGTCAAAGATGGTTGTGAATGCTAGTACGTTGTTATACTGGTCGCTGGTAAAAAGTTCCTTCCAAAGAATAACGGTCATACCGAGTACGTATGACATGTACCCTTGACATTCACCCCATTTAGCACCAATTTGGAAGCCCACCTGTGATGCAAAAATTTTGCCATCAGGCGGAATCGAACCTTGGACCTATTTGATCTTTTGCATTTTCCTTGTCAAGTTTACTTAGCAGTTTTGAACTTCACAGTTGTAACCAGCATCCCAGGCTCTATCGATTCGCTTAGGTCTCAATTCAAAGTTACATGGGAATTCAAAAGACTTCCCCGGTGAGATGCCTGAAAACATGTTTTGCATCTCTCCCTTCTCCTTTATTCCCAACGTCAATCTGTGAATTTGCACGGTGGATAACAGTCGTACAGTGGCCCAACCTATTGTCTATAGATGCGCGATTGCATATCTCTTTGGGTTATCTCCGCTCAAATCTGGTTCCCTCCTCTTGGCAGGGCGGATCTAGGCCATTATCACCATCACCTCTGCCGAATCCCCATATAAAACGAGCGCATATCTCGACGGAGACCTCAGTGTGCGATCGGTTATCTCTCCTTGGCCTTCCTCTGTCCGATTTTCTTTCGAGACTCTCAGTTCCCACCTACCATCTGGTCTTCCTCTGTGAGACTCCTTTCTAGCTTCATTTCCCACTTACGATCTTCTATTTCCAGATGACGCCACAATCGGTGGCTGTGGCCGCTACCGGCCTGGGATGCTTCGCTCTCGCGATGTGCTTCTTCGCCTTCCCCATGATCCTCAGCGAAATCAGCGACATCCGCGCTGAGCTCGATGCCGAAATCGAATCATGGAAGCTCGAGACCGACAATCTGTGGAGGGACATGAATAAGTACGGACGTGTCCGTCGTCAGGCTTACGGATACGCTGCACCTCCCCCACGAGGAAACTTCCCCAGCGGAAAGGTACTGCAGCCTTGGCTGCCACTGCGGCGTAATTTTTGCGTATATCTTCTAAAATTAATATTCTAGGGACCTAACTTCCCAGGAGGTCAATTTGGCGAACAGCCATACCCAGGAGATGCCGGAGGCCCACCCCACCCAAGTGGCCCCAACGGACATCTTCCAGGTGTTGTTGGAGTACCACCCAGCCTCAACCGCAACTTCCCTGGAAATGATGGAGCTCCATCGGGTAAGGCATTTCCAAGATTTTCCCTATTTGACCTCTTTTTTCTACAAGGATACCATGCTAATGTTTCTTGAAATTTAGCCCAGCCCAACGGAAACTGCAACTGCAACGCCGACAACACTTGCCCAGCTGGACCTCCTGGACCTAAGGGAGTTCCTGGACATGATGGCCCTGATGGACTCCCAGGAGTGCCTGGAGTTGATGGAAAAGACGCTGAAGATGCCAAGGCTCAGACTCAGCAGTACGATGGATGCTTCCACTGCCCACAAGGACCTCCCGGACCTCCCGGTTAGTGAACATTCCTTCCAAACAAAACGTTTTTGTAATTGTAATCAACTTAAACGTCCGATTCAGGACCAACTGGCAAGCCAGGAGCGCGTGGTATGCGTGGAGCCCGTGGACAGGCTGCTATGCCTGGCCGTGATGGACAACCAGGATTCCCCGGAACTCTCGGAGGTGAAGGAGCCCCTGGACCAGCTGGTGAAGAAGGACCACAAGGAGAACCAGGAGAGGATGTTGAGCACCAAATCGGTCTTCCCGGACCCAAGGGAGTGCCCGGACCAGTTGGAGATGAAGGAGATGAGGGACTCCAGGGAGATACTGGAGCACCAGGACAAGCTGGACCTCCTGGAGAGCGTGGACCACAAGGAGAGAAGGTTGGTGTCTGGATCTGTTTTTGTTAAATACTGATGGTAATGATCGTCTTTAAGGGAGATGATGGTGCTCACGGACTACCCGGAGAGCCAGGAGAGGAAGGAGAACCAGGCAAGGATGCCGAATACTGCCCATGCCCCAAGCGCAATGCTGCCCAGAACAATGTTCAGGCTACTGGCTACCGCCGTTATTAAACGGCTGGAGACATGTGCATGTTGTGCAATACACAATAAATTATTGCTTTCTGTGGTGTAAGAAGTCTTCAACAAGAGGAAAATGCTGCAGTGTATGATAAATGGGATAATAATTGGTTGGCTTCGATGAGTAATTGTACAGGCGGTTCGTTCACAGACCGGTCAGGTGGCTGGCCTACCGCGATAAGACTGTAGCATCACGCGTTCAGCACTTGCTGAGGGAAGTACCGTATCCACCCAAACTTTTACCCTTCCATTTTTAAAATCCGACATGAAGATCTTCGGAATGCTCGTTTTCTTCTAGTCACGTTGAATTCTTTGCTATTCAAATTATGAATTGCACGTGTAGGCGATAATTCCTCAAGACCGAAATTATGAGAAAAACGTTTGGCCAAACGCTGGGGTCTTTTGGTTCGCGCCAGAAAGCTGGAATTTTGAGAGGACTTTTTGTTGAATCTTACGGATTGGTCTTAAACTGCCATAAAACAAAGAAAGCGCTCAGCATTACTTACTCTTCATGGGCGGACCAACATTGGACTGTAAGGCACCCACGGTGGCGGACACATGGTGTGTTACGTATTTTAAAAGAATCCTTCTATTTTATAAAGCGCTAACTTTGTGTGTCGGTTTGTGTATCTGTATGTGTGTGTGTATGTATGTATGTGTGTCCGTCCGCAAAATGAAGTGAGTGAGAAGGAAGCTCATGGGATAAACAAACCGCTAACAAATCGGGTAGCTTACAGGATTTGAGATATCAATGTTTTGTAGCAGGATAGTTGTGATAACACTCTTAGGGCTATATAAACACCTGCTTAGCACACTTCCGTTCATTCCACATGGTGCTGCAGTGGCAGCTGGAGGGCAGTGGAGAGAGGAAGGGAGGAAGGGAAGCGAAAAATCTACCGTCATATCATGATTGTGTCCCTTCTACTGTATGAAACACCATTGTGTTGCATACGCGTCACTTCCAGGAGGTGTTGGTGTCACAGGAGGAAGGGACCATAGCGGAGGATAGAAAGCTTGCGCAGGAAAGGAAGGTCCCGGCGGTTGACGGGGGACTAATCTGGTTTCAAAAATGCGCGATTAGGAACGTGAGTAGGGAGAAGCAAAATCCCCATAGAAAACACTGAGATTTCCCTTGTAAGGTCGGCCTTGGCATGACAAAGAGACACGCGCTGCGAGGAGAGGGAAATGCGAGAGAGTACGGCGTAAGCGAAAAAGCACAAACGCAGGTACATCGCGATTGGTAGAGCGGCAGCGTACAAGGCAAGGCCTTAGCGCCCTTGCTGCGCACTTTTGAGTGGCGACAGTGTCGCGTCTCCTGGGCTTTGGGGCCTGTCTTTCTCACCCTAGAAGAGACTACCTTTTGGAGCTTACTTTTTCTCATAGCCGACTCTGTAGCCATAACACTCTCTCACAATCAGCTCCGTGCCGTATCGGGAGTAGTTCAATCTTTCCGCTCAGCGGAATGCAGCCTAAAAGAGAACACTGGTTCAAGAAGACCATCGGTGCCAGATTCGGAACAAGTTTGTCCTCTCACTGAAGTCAAACCACATAGACTCTGTAGCCGTAACATTCGGTTGTTCAAAAACACGACTGCCACAGTTCTCGCTCACTCATAATAGGATTGCAGTGTGGTCAAAAAAGCACTCAATTACTGATCAGTGATCATAAGAGTTAGTGCCTACAACCTCTTCCAAGGGAGTTCCTACTTTGTAGATCATTCTTACTTGAAGAGTAGAAGCAATGGTTATATGTAAATCGCTGGCACCATTGGCAGGACTAGAATCTCCAAAAATGTGAGCAATGGGAGAGGTTACGCTTCACAAGGCACATTGCACCCTTGCTTGTGAAACATACACCCGCGAAACTATGGAGGAAAAAACGCATTCTACAGGCGGAATTGTGGTGAGAGCTCTGCGATCATAGGGTCTATTCCAGTTAAGGGGGGGCATCAC